TATAGACTTGGGTTTTGTAAAGATTTCTTAAATAGGATACAAAAACCATGAGCTATAAAAGAAAATATCAATAAATTAGACTTTATCAAAATAAAAAATTCTGGTCTTTGAAAGACATTGTTAAGAAAATTAAAAGACAACCAAGAGAATGTGGAAATGCTTGCACAGCATATATTCAACAAAGGACTTGTGTCCAGACAATATAAAGAACATTTACAACTCAGTAATAAGAAGACAAAGAATCTAATAAAAAAAAAAAGGTGAAAGAATGGAACAGACGCTTCCCTAATGACAGCATACAAATTGCGTAAAAAGATGTAAGCCACATTCATCACCAGAGAAATTGAAATTAAAACTATAGTGAGATTTCACCATGTATTCATTAGACTGGCTATAATTAAAACGATGGACAATACCAAATGTAGGTGAAGCTATTGAGCACCTAGAATTCTCATACATCCCTGGTGACAAAATGTGATATGGTTCAACTGCTCAGAAAAGAAGCTTTTAACTCTTTCTTAAATTTCTTAAAGAGTTAAACACATAACCTAGACGTTCAACTCCCAAGTCTATGCACAAAAGAAATGAAAATGTATATCCACACGAAGACTTGTACACAAGTATTTGTAGCAGTTTTGAACACAGTCAACCCACATTGGAAAAAATCCATAGCAGCTTCATGCATAATAATCAAAATTTGAAATAAATCCAGCTGGGCTCCAGGAGGTTATGGATAAACAGAGGGTGGGGCATCCAGACAACAGAATATTATTCAACAAGAAAAAGAAACAAACTGCCACTATACACAACAAAATGAAGGAATGTTAACATCGTCATGTGGAGTGTAAGATGCCAGACCTAAGAGTATGATTCCATTTATGTAAAAGTCTAGAAAATGCAAAAAAGCTATGACCAAAAAAGCAGCTCTGTTTTGATTGGGGCCAGGGTAGAAGAAGGGATGGACAGAAAAGAAGCAAGAAGAAATTTTGGAAGGTGCTAGGAATTCCCTCTGTCTTGATTGTGGCACCAAGTTCTACAGGTGTGTTCACTGAGTCGTGCACTTTAAATGGATGCAGTAGATGGTACATAAATGATGTCTCAATAAAGTTGATTTTGAACAAACTGTGTCTCTACACATCCCTACATCTCTGCACGTAACTGCTCATCTCTGGAATTTGGACTCAAACTTTCTAAATAACATCAGTTCCCTCACCAGTCTCATGTAACACAGCACCTATTCCCTGTCATTTTTCCTTTCCTTCCAGTCATGCAGACCCCCACATTTCACTCTACCTACCGCTCTACTCACAAAATAAAAGCATGAAGTTTTCTTTCAAGTAATGCAATATCTTTTGGGTCTCAGGAAACAACAAAACAACAGGTTGTGTGTACGGTGTATGTGTGTTCTTTCCCTAAAAACATCCCTTTATGGGGGCGGGGGCTATATAAGGAGTCAAATGATGTAGGAATACAAGCTAACTAAATGATTGGAAGGACAGAATTAAAGAGCTTCAGGAGTGTAACTGTTAACCTGTGATCTACGTAAATTATGCCACTCCGAGGAGGAAGGGAACAACTATTTTCAGATCAGCTGCATCAACACTGGTCCACAAGGCTTCCCAGGTGTCCTGCACACACTCCCGAGCAGGTCACCTGCTAGACAGGAGGTCAGCTAAACTAGCTTTTTCCTTCAGTCTAGTGAGTATTTCCTTCTGGTAGGGATTCCTTAAGGCTGCAATTAGCCTGATCCTATCATTTGCTGTGATCCCAAAGCCAGTCACAATAATTCCTCTTGATTCCAGGAAGGTGCACCCGGCATCTGCCCAGCTGATGGCTGATGTTTGTGCAGGGTCTGAGTTCTGCTCCTCTTAAGTGGCAACAGTGTTTCCTGGCTCAGAGAAGCATCACCACAGCTGAAGGAGGGTCTGGTTAACCTCTGTCTCTTTCTGAAGGCCAGTCAGTATTGCTTCTGAGTTAGGGCACTGGAATCATGAAATTTCGTTGAATATGATCATAACATATTTAATTCCTGCCAGTTGCCCTCTGGTCAGAAAGTATTAGAGGTCCGCAGGTGGTCTGGCAAGGTTTCTAGAAGCAGCAGAAACCAGCAGCTGACTGCACAGCTACATGAAATTAAAACCTGTTTCAAGATATGTTCCATATGTACACATACAAATCCATTAGGGAACACGGTGAGCTCTTTGCATTATACGGGTATTAAACGCTATGGGTAGTGAATAAGGGACCATCGGAGAAATACACGGGAAAGGAAAAGAGAGAAACAGGAAGCAAAGTCTTAACCGAGGAGGGTTACTTCCCAGACTGAGTAGGCTGCGTTTTGCTTAAGAAAACACGGAGAAGACCGATGCAAGACCAAAACTCACAGAAGAATGTGCAAGGGAGAACGAGTGAAAACGGCAAGGCCTCTTTTCCAGAACTCTTCAAAGGTATTCGCGTCTTGCTTAAGTCAGAGAGAGACAAAATTATTCTTTTTATTCCAATTCAAAAGACTCCACTGTAACAGCCAGTCTAGCACTGTGATGCTCACATTCGGAGTGTTACAGATTTGCATACTACTGTAAGAGCAAGCTGGATGACCCTTACACCCACGGAAGAAATTAGTTAAGAAGTTAGACTAGCAGAGAAATGAACGATCAAAGGGACTCTTGGAAAAGACAATATACCTGAATGAATTCAAGGAAACTGTTTACCAGTTGTTTGGCTAAAAGTGCATTTTAAAAAAGTCAAGGATGAGGTTCATGTATTTGAGACTCTGGATGTCTTCGGGAGACCAACACGGGGATTAGAACTGAAAATCTTTCCTCAGTTGTCTGAATATGGGGACAATATAGTGTTCGGCTGTAATCGATACATTTAGTATTTTTAGGGTCAGGCTTCTCCTCGGTTTCATGAGCCTTTGGGAACCTCTCCTTTTAGCTGTGTAAGCCAAGGTGACCCCCTTAATGAACCAGGGTACAAGACTAGTTTTTACACAATTTCATGGTCTCTGTTCCCGATCAGAGAATGATCCCTCTGGTCTGAGTTAGCTTGACACTGATGGCAAGTTAAGGGCAGGTCTGCTCTATGCCTGTCTGGTCTGAAATTCTAGGTGATGCCAAGGGTTTAGAGGAAGAATTGATCATGTTCTGACCCCCTGCGAGTTCAGCAACAAGTCAGTGACAGGCACCAGAAGGACCAGGACAGGAGTACTGGGAGTGGCGAAGAATGGTCCCCTGGCAAGGGGACTGTCAAAGGGAATTTTCCTTTGGCTCAGGTTAGAT